TAAATTCAATTGAATTATTGATATTGTAACAACAGAAGACAAGGGCCAGCCAAACAGATCGTTTATTAAAGAAATCACACATTTATAGATTTTCATGTACATATTATAGATTATTGTTAGCAGAAAAACACAGTCTTCTGATTGGTTGTTTCTCACAGAAAGTTAACCTTGCATCTCTTTGTGGCTGTTTCTTGAATCTCAGATCATCTATATGCTAACTGTATCCGCCTATGCAAAATCTGCTGTGATTGGTTGTTGAGTCAGTCTTTGTTCTTATTTTTCTCACGACCGATATCGGGGACGTAAACATTGACGTAAATTACTGCCTACCAACTCGCCTAGCAGCCAGCTGCAACCACAATATGATCCGTTGCACAAGAGGTGGCTAGTTCTCTTGTGGCCCAAGCGGTCTAGTGGATAACGCTTTGGCGTTTGAAACTATGGATACTGGGTTCGAGCCTCGGTGGGAACATCATCACTCACTGAGTATACCCAGTTGACGAGTCCCAAATAGGACGAAACGAGCATACTGGATTCCACTGCTAGTCATCCTCCACCAATTATCTTCTAGTTATGAGGTTATGTTGTAATATTTTGTAATCGTAGTATAAGTATTTCGAGATGACCGAATTACAAGAATTCAACCAAAACACAGAGAGGGCGGAATTCAGGAATTTGTATTTAGCGGAATTATTATGCAATTTATATAAGAAACATATTGACAATCAACAGTAAGTATTTAAACAATACAGAGATAGAAATTGTCAATCACCACATCCGCCAAATGTCGAATATCTCCTTGCGTATTTATAACGATGTGTCGGTTTGCTTGCAAGTAGCTGCGACCTTCTAACTGATTCTGTGATACTATTTTCATCAGTATTATCTGGTCTTATTTCTGAATTATCTACAAAATCAGGATTAGTAGTGGAATCATTAAAATTATAATTGGAACGACCTACTTCATTTATTGTCACTTTGTCCAGGTGTCTGTTATGAACTGAGTGATTTTTGATGTCTAATATCTTCACCACTCGATTTCCCATTTTTTGTGGGATAATTCCAACAGAAGGTCTATAGTCTTTCCCTTTGTAATAATGTACATTAGAAGTCGTGGACATCAGATGCTTTTTGAGAATTCGAGATTTGAAAAGTTTTGCAGGACTTTAATGGGTACTTGTATGTTCTGCATTCAACAGACGCAGTCTATGCATATGCAGTAATTCCTCCATTTTAATCAGTTGCTCTCTCATCTCATTCAGTTTTTCTCGTGTTTTCGACAGTTCGCATTGTAACTCGGCTATCTCATTGTTGAAAACAGTTGACACTTGAGTTGCTGAACTTGTATTGGAGGTTTTCAATGGATGAGCTTGAGTATTTTGAAAAGTTGAACGACACATTGACTCCATTTTACTAGACAGCTTGGGAGAATTATAAGAATGTTGAGCAACATAAGTATTCGAACTTCTGCAAACAGTCTTGATGTGTCCAACTTTACCACATTTATGGCACTTAGCACCCCGAAAACGGAAAGTGCTTCGTAGATGTAACTTTCCAAAGGAAAAACACGGTTTAATGTTTTTGATCTCTGGCTGCATTCTATTGCCTGTGGATGACAGTTTGGATTGCTTTCCATGAACACTTGTATTTTCGACTTTGGACAACATGACATCAGATACTGACGTAGTGGGAGCAGAGTATTCATTATTGACATCTTCATATGTAATACATAAATCTTTAGCAGTTTGAAAGGTACAAGAAGGAATCTGAATTAACTCTTTCTCTAACTTAGGAATATTGATTCCAGCAATTTGACGATCACGTAGTTGAGTATGCAGCTGATCTCCAAAATTACACTTTGAAGCTTGTATTTGGAGTTGAAGAATGAAGTCTCTTATCTTCTGATTGGGAGCACAAACCAGTTTGTTGAATTGAGCCCTCTCTCTGGTCTCAAAAGTAGTTACATGAAAGTGATTTATTAGAAGTTCACGAATCTTGACATATGACAGAGAAATAGGTCTATCTGGAAACGCCAGATTCTTCACTAGGCTATATGCATCTAACCCAATAGCAGTGATGAAATGTGCTGGTATTTTGTCATCCCGAACATTCTTTGAAATGCACCATGCATCGAAGCATTCAAAATAATCAGCAATCTCCCGCGGAGACCCATTAATGGGAAATTTTCCCAGGTTATTTAGTTCCATCGCGACGCCAATTTGTTGTAATATTTTGTAGTCGTAGTATTAGTATTTCAAGATGCCCGAATTACAAGAATCCAACCAAAACACAGAGAGGGCGGAATTCAGGAATTTGTATTTAGCGGAATTATTATCCAATTCATGAAAGAAATATATTAACAATCAACAGTAAGTATTTAAACAATACAGAGATAGAGATTGTCAATCACCACAGGTTATTTCGATAAATTCTTTCAATTGTTTTTATTTTTATAATTGCGAAGCGTTGTTTAGTTTACCCAGGGTTACATTTTACGATGATCGCAGTAAACATCAGTGCTAATGATGGCGTTATGTATCATGAATCGTTACAAGTTGGAATTCATGGGCCATTGGATTTCATCTCAGTGGCTGAATGATTAATGGGTTTGTATCGTAAGCTGAGATTCCTGGGTCAGCTCGTGGTCTGAATGCATTGAAACATCAATGATTTTCTTAGTCATGTGTCTAGTCCTTAATGCCGCTGACTTGATTCTATCATTCAGTTTTGTAATACGATGATCACTCTGGCATACTGGCTATCGAGGTGAACTTTTTGGATGAATAATTTTAGGCGGTTAGGCCTGGTCAACCTAGATTTCGTGGTCATTGGCAGCCATCATCAAAGTATATGTGCAGCCTTGAAGGAAGTAATGTCGGTTCGGTGATTTGAAACTCTGTTACCAAGTTCTGTAGTCTGAAATATTACCACTGAACCATTCAGGGCAATGACTGATCTCCTTAGAATTGCAATGTCTGTATCGATCGGTCACCAGGGTCTAACTTACTTCATCTGTTAAGGCTTTATATTATAAGCCTTGCTGATAATAAACACGAAACCTGAGAGTACTGGACAGCTGTTTTGTCAGCATGGTTTGCGACTCTTTATCAGAACGCACCCATCGACAGGGTTTGAGCCCGGGACCTTCCGGTTACAGGGCGAGCTAGCTCATAGACAACTAAGATACTGGGACCCAACGCAGTAGTCAGTTCATGAATTACAACTTCTGCCAATTCATGATACGGCGTGACCACTATCGAATCTCATCGCTGGTGAGTATTTGTCCTCAAATCCAACCTGCCCTACCCTATTGGTCATGAATTCCCATTAGAACCCAGGTTACTACCTACCTGAATCGAGTCAGTCACTAGTAAGCATCAGACTGGTATTCAAGTGTTGGTCTGCAGAGATTTGATTGGCTTCAGGGTTTCATCATGAACTGAAGTCGATTAGAGAATCATTGGAAATCACTACAGTTGTTTCGCCCTAGTTCGGGACTCTCCACCAGTACTCACCCACTAAGATTCGTGACCAATGGGGTACAGTAGGTCGGGTGTGAAGAAAAATACTCATCAGAGATGACATTTGCTGGTGGTCGCGCCATGTCATGAATTGGCATGGACTGACTACTACGTTGGGTCCCCGTGGTTTAATGGCCTACAATCTAGCTCGCCTTGTAACCGGAAGGTCCTGGATTCGAACCCTGCCGGTGGGTGAGTACTGTTGAAGATTTCCAAACTAGGGCGAAACAACTGTCCAGTACTCTAGTAGTAACTTCCTATGATCCTCTAACCTCTTTCAGTTTATAATGAAATCCTGAATCCAACCAAATCCCTGCAAACCAACATTTGAAACACGAAACCTTGGTCAGTTCAAGCTTCCTGCCGATTTCCCTCAACCGCTTAACAGAAATTCAAAAGTTCACCGTTATAAATAGTCTCCTGGGCTGGTGACCACACAGTTAAGTAGAGTGATAGAATCTGGTAACCAGTGACAACCGACTAGACGGGTTTTTCCACACTGACTATTTAATATGGTACATATATACTCCTATGGTGATGTTAAATTGGATGATGTTTCGAGAACGATTTAGCGTTCATAGTCATATCAAATCAACCTTTCATTTTATGCTATATTGAATAATTTTGAACAAGGCATTAAGAAGACAAATTTCGCGAGATGATATCTTCATTTCGTAGTTTCTTTACAACCGCTTTACAACTAACATGGTTAACAATAATGAAATAAAATAAAGATCATGACAATTGCTCAGTTAAATAAAAAACAAAAGTACATACTAATGACCAATCATCACATTTAAACAGGTCAAATAGTCCATGGTAGGCGATAAGGTTGAAGTCTATTGATTTTTGTACATACAGTTTACGCGCTATATGATTAATCTAAAGTGCTTCCATCACCTTCAATAACCTTGAATTAGAGTTATGTGAAATAATTGTGAAACAGTCATTAATATTGATTGATTTTGTGACCAGACATTAATAAGTGTTTTGCAATGGATGATGCTGGATTTCTATTAAGATTAATCGCATCATCCATTGCAAAACACTTATTATTAATGTCTGGTCACAAAATCAATCAATATTAATGACTGTTTCACAATTATCTCACATAACTCTAATTCAAGGCTGGTTATTGAAGGTGATGGAAGCACTTTGGATTAATCATATAGCGCGTAAACTGTGTGTACAAAAATCAATAGACTTCAACCTTATCGCCTACCATGGACTGCATGACCTATCTGAATATGATTGGTCATTAGTATGTACTTTTGTTTTTTATTTAACTGAGTAAATTTCATGAACTTTATTTTATTATTGTTAACCATGTTAGTTGTAAAGCGGTTGTAAAGAAACTACGAAATGAAGATATCATCTCGCGAAATTTGTCTTCTTAATGTCTTATTCAAATTTATCAAAGGGACTAATTGTTTTAATATATTGAATAAATCTGAACACCTTTTCTTCTTTCATTTTCAGAGAGAACTTTACGTGGGAAAGTCTTCTACAAGGATCAAGATAAAATCTATTGTGAAGAAGATTATCTGGTAAGAATTTTCACGCTTCATAGATAAATAATATTGATTTTTCCATATTTTGAAGTTTCTGTAGCAACTGGATTGATTGGTTTCACGCTCAAACCTACTCCCTCCCCCCGTTTCTCCGGTCTTAAGACTGGCTAGTAAACTATGCGAGGTTCAACGATTTAAGCTATGCGTCACCCTTTAGTTACTGAAGATCAGGTAGCCGACTGGACAGAAACGATAAGCCTGAAAGGAACTCTGGCAACTGGTGAACCAACTAAGATTCACTTGTAAGACAAATATGCCGAAGGAAACTGAGATGGATGGATGGATTGGACATATATGCTGATAAAATCGTTTAATGGTATCATACGCTGGATAGGTTCTTGAGTGGAACGTGAATGAGAAACGATGATTTGAGCGTAAGTCCACACACATGTGTGACATGGAGAGAGGATCGTGTGAGGAGAGGGGGAGGAAATGTAAGCTTATGAACGATTATGGAAACAGACAGTTAAAAGTCATCCCAGTAAAGAGTGTGAAATGGCACGTGTCAGGTGATCCACAAGGGGAAAACTCAATGAAGCCTTTGAAGTGATTACAGGAGTAAGACAAAATGCGACAATGACATTCCTAATTCTGGTGGACTAGATTATGCAGAAGACTGTAGGGAGTTAGAAGACAGAAACACGTTGGACAACCAATAAGAGGACTCTAGAAGATTATAATTTCAAGGAGGAGGATTTATGTTTCACGTCATACAAACTGGAAGAGTTGCAGGCGTAAAGCAACAGACTGGCTGAAGAAGCAGGCAGGAAGCGAAGATGGGACTCCAGATGAACATATAGAAAATGAAGGTGATTTAGATAACCAACCAACCAACCAACAGCAACAACAACAACCAGCACCAATCACTATCAACCGAAGAAATCTGAAAGAGATTACTTCCTCCATGTATCTAGAAAGTATCGTTTGAACTACACTGGTGTCACAATTGAATATTGTCAAATGTAGAATCGGAAATTTAAGATAGAACTTCATCACTCTGAAATCAGTTTGGAAATCTACTGAATGCGGCACAAGGAACGAATCTCGAATTTTCAACACCCAATTTTTAATTCAGTCAGTCCCCGTATATGGGTCAGAAACATGACCCACATCTCATGAAAAGCATTTTGAAAAGGTGTTGTTGCAGGCTTTTATCAACAACTGCCTTCGCTGGCTACATATTGAAGATTGGGTAGACAGCTAAAATGAATTAGCAATAAGAAACTCTGGGAATATACCAACCAAGAACCTACTGCTCAGGAAATATTTCGAAGAAAATGGACATGGATACGTCACACTCTGTGGAGACCTCTGGGTGAAATGTCATGCCATCTAGGGCATCGGGTAGGACCCGAATGGGAAATGACTGATTTTTGAGTTGTTTCAAGAGTGACATGAAGGAGATCGTGTGAGCAGGAGGAGATGACAAACTATTGGTAGTCGTGTAGTCATCTAGGTAAAGAGTATCACAAAGAATAGGACAAAGTTGAGGTGTGCTGTTGAAGGCATTTGATATATATATATATATATATATATATATATATATACTATAGTTCTGTCTTACAACTTCCATGACCTTATAAGTTACAGTGGCTAGACAACATCAGATCCAAATATCATCATTCAGATTATAAGTCAGCATGCAGTGAATTAGGCGATTTCTTCAAAAGTTTTCGTAAATCCTTGAATGTTAAAATACAACTTCGCGAGTAAAGATCAATCAAAATTTACATCAGACACTTTATTCTACTGTACAGGTTTAAAGTGGAATAATAGTAGTCACTTGGTTTTGATTATCGCTTAGCATGAAATATCTATTTTTGACTAAGTCTAGAAGTTAGAGTATCACAGACACAGTCAAGATCTTCTAGGGTTGACCTTGAAGCTCCAATCAGATGAATAGGACGCTTCGGGATATCATTTAAAGTAAGAATTATGCCTGAATTTATGGATATGGTTAGTGAATTTGGCTAAGATTCAATATTTAACTACTGTATTCACTCAATACTCAAGATCAGATGGCCAGCCAGAAAATATCAGCAACAGGGATCTCTGTGAGCGAACCAACACAGCAAGAACCGATTGTGAAACAAATAGGCAGGAAGAAATGGAGATGGATTGGCCATACGCTGAGGAAACCATCAAGTGAGTGACATCACTAGACAAGCCATCGCTCAAGTGGAACCCGAAAGGAAGACGGCGAGTTGGTCGTCCGAGGGCAGGGTGACTTGGAGGAGGTCATGTGAGGGAGGAGGAGATGAAAGCATGTGGGTGGCAGACTTGGAGCGGGGTGAAAAAGTTGTCAGAAAACCGAAGGCAATCGAGGTGCACAGCTGAAGCCTTATGTTCCTCTAGGAACTAAAGGATACAATAATAATAATAATAAATTGAAATAACGAAGATTTGTGTTTGTGAAGAGACTGTGACAATAAGACAATACAACCATCCAACTGTTGGAGTTAAATACTGCTATAGATGTAATAATTGCCATAAGAGAAAATCCATTTGTGAGAGTTGATACAGCATTCAACTTATTCCTTAGATACTTTTTCCTCTGGGTCTAAACTGTCTTTGACGGATTTCCTACACTTTATGTACTACTGTCTGTATTTTACAAAGGCCAATAAGGTCAACAGCAGCTGAGATAGAAAATTGCCTGTTCTCTTCAAGTGCAATGACAACAGTATTGTAGAGACATGGTGTCATGAAAGCTGGGGAAGATTACTGGCTGTCTTAGAGGAAGAAGAGTTGTTATTTACATTGATGAAACTGCCTTCACTAAGAATAAGAAGAAGATGTGTAATGACCATACATACTGACCATTGTAGGGGGGGGGTGGATATAACCAGTTGTTATCCTTGGGTTATATTCATCATCGTGTCAGCCATTCCTCCGATCCTGTAGATCAAACCATGAGTACGCATACTAATTCTATCGACGGATTTAGCAGAAAGGTTGAAGTAGAGAAACAGGAAGGCGAATGGATCGTAAAATGTCGCTATTTATATTCACATCGATGAATACATGTATCGTGTCTTGTATGGTTTCTCAGAGGATTTTCCTCTGAGAAACTGGAAGATATTTCTACAACACATTAGAGACCATTATTAAGTTTAATATCGTATGTGTGCGTCACTGGCACAACGGTTAAGACTCTCACCGACCATACACATGTTCCAGAGTTCGATCCACTTCCGACTCACACTTGATATCATTGGTAGGCCTGCAAAAATCGGTCTACCTATATCACATGCTGGAAATTTCATACTTCTATCAAAAATACGGTGTGGAATCAACCTATAATCAAAAGAAACATATTTGTAACGTCTTTTAATACACTTTTTCTTTAACGATTATGCCAATTTTTTCTCACCTGAATTCTGATTGGTTGTTCAAGGTCAGTGAAATTTTGGCTATGAGACTAACTTCACCTTATTTTCTAAATTTCTTTCTAATTCTGGTATTTACAAATCCTAAAAATAACACAAGTCAGGATGAAAATTGCCTGTAGTTTCTTTTGGACACTCAGAAATATTCAGATCACGTTGTGTGGCACAGTGGTTAGGACTCTCGCCGACCATGCACATGGTCCGAGAGAGGTTCGTTCCCCTGCCGTCTCACACCTGATATCTATGGTCGGCCTGCGAAATTCGGGCTACCGATATCCATGCTGAAAATCCCATACTTGTACCAAAAATACATTGTGGAATCAAGCTGTAATCAAAAATAAAAATAAATAAATAAATTCGATACCGTAAGTGGGAATCAAGAAAACATGCATAACGGCACAAAATTATGTATTACCGATTGAATGATATGAGTAGTCACGTGCCACCCACATTAGTCAGTAGTGCTTACTAACTGATAGCCCAGACAACCCAAACGACTATGTCAAGTGTTTAGACAACTTCGATCTGACTGGTCAAAAAGCTATTACGGGTTTACGTAAATCGTCTTCAACTACTCATATTCATTAGTTAGTAGTATATATGATTGTGCATAATTTTCTCGTTATTCAGCAATACTCGTTTTATTGAATTTATTTATTAACATCTGTGTTGTAATTCGCGTCAACTTAACGTCTTCCTATCTTCTGATTAGACGAATGAAATCTATGAATACTATTTGCCTCATTTCGATGCTGAGATCAGTTAATATCATAAGCATTTGATGAAGGCTAATGAAATGGAATCATGACGTGTTATCCTGTTTTATATGTCGTCCATTATATGTTCAACTTTACTGCATCACTTCTCAACAAAATCTACCCTATAATAATGATAATAACAATATTTTTAGATAAATGTTTCATTAATTCTTCACATGATCTCCTCCATGTTACACTCAGGCTCCTTGTCGACTCGGGATGTCATCTGATGGTCTCATTAGTGTACACCCAGTCCTTCATCTCCATTTACTTCCGCATAGCTGTTAGACTGTAGATTCTTGGTTGGTTAGTCGCCTGAAGGAGTTCCCTGTTTCTTACCTTCTCTAGTCATCTAATCTTTAGTATGGAGTTAACGAAGAGAGCAACTGTTGATGAAGGCCTTCAGAAGCCCATTGACAAAGCTTTTGGTGAAGCGCCCACACAAAGTCTCTAATACATACAGGATTTCTGACAGACTTGACATCAAGGATGAAAATTCGGATCTGGTTCTTTGTGATCTGGTTGGCTTTCATATCTTCATTTGTGCCGCCTGTGGTTGGAATAATGCTGCTTCCAAGATAACCAACCGACAGTGATGACTTCCTGTAGATTTCTGTCATTGTCGGTGACTTTTTCTTGAATTGATGTTGGTTAGATCATCTTCATCACTTCTTTCGCATCCATGTCAACTTAAAGTCCTGTCTTCACTGGTCGTCTCTTCTATCGACCTGTTGATTTTCACCTGTAGACTTCTAAGCTTATGAGACATGAAACAAAGATAATTCTTGAAATTCAAATCTTCTAGTGTCTTTTGTTTACCCACTTTGTAAGCCCATCTTCTCTCTCTCTCTCTCAGATCTCACGGCACATCGTATGTTGCAGTCCACTAAAATAACTAAGATCATTGGTGATAGTAGATGGCTTTGTCTTAATAACACAATACTCAGAGAAGAGACTCTTTTCAATGAATTCGAATAAAGCAAGAACAACAGTGGTGGTTTGTATAGAATAAGAAGACGGTACCATCCTGTGTTTATTTCTTTGGCTTCTCATCAGCTGCTACTTACAGCTTGAAAATTTTTCATGGTGTCAGCTGACAGAAAGTTCCACAATTAATGAACAGTGCTCGGAAAACTGCACTTTTCTAGATTTTACAAAGGCAGTTCAAGTTTAAACAAAATAAATGTATGCATACAATGGTAAGGGAGTTACATAATAAAGATGAGGTGTGCGTTAGATGCGTAGTGACTAATAAGTTAGGTAACAATGAGCTGAGTTCAACTCAAATCATAGAAACAAGAGACAAGCAAAATTACACTATATCAAAGTGGGGGGGGAGTGCTGAGGTTAAAGGCAAAGAGTACCAATTGTATGCATACATTTATTTCGTTTAAACTTGAACTGTCTGTGACAAACTATATAAACGCAGTTTTCTGAGCACCGTTCACTAATTGTGGAACCTTCTGTCAACTAACATCATGAAAAGTTTGCAAGCTGTAAGTAGCAGCTGATGAGAGGCAAACGAAATATATGATAGTACCATATTATTTTGCACAAACCACACTGTTGTTCTTGCTTTATTTAAATAAATGCGCACATTCTACGCCACCATATCTCTTTTTCTCACTTGCCAAACATTTTCGATCCCTGTTCCTACGATCAAAGGACGAAATTCTGTGGACTCTACTGTATTAAACTGTATCTACAAGTTTACCTGCAGTTGTTGCGGTGACACCTATATAGGTAGAACTAACAGAATGTTCCAATGTCGTCGAAAAGATCATGTTCCAAAATGGCTATTAAATCATATCGAAAATCCTAACGCGATCAATCTTAATAGAAATCCAGCATCATGATCCATTGCAAAACACTTATTAATGTCTGGTCACAAAATAAATATTAATGACTGTTTCACAATTATCTCACATAACTCTAATTCAAGGCTGGTTATTGAAGGTGATGGAAGCACTTTGGATTAATCACATACAGCCTAAACTGTGTGTACAAAAATCAATAGACTTCAATCTTCGCCTACCCTGGACTACATGACCTATCTAAATATGACTGGTCATTAATATGTACTTTTGTTTTTATTTAACTGAGTAATCATTGTTAACCATGTTAGTTGTAAAGCGGTTGTGAAGAAACTACGAAATGATGATATCATCTCACGAAATTTGTCTTCTTAATGCCTTGTTTAAATAAATGCATGAAGTTTCAACGAATTCATTGTCAAGGTGTTAAAATCGTATATGTATGTATGGTTCCTTTTAAGAAATCATATCCGGTGGGGGAATTGAATCATAGGTGTCAACATATAAAATAATGATAGTAGTAGTATGAAATGCAATCGAAATATTTGTGAATATAATCATAGTTTAATGTCAAGTGGCGAAACAATCAATGTCATATATTAGAATAATTCATGAGGTGTATAGATGTTGGAAAGGGGTGCATAATTACAGGATTAGTGGGCTAATATAAAATGTTACATAACATGGTCTGAAATTTGATAAGATAGAATTCAATATTGTAAAAATAAAAAAAATATAAGAATTAATCATTTTAGATTTAAAATGACAAGTGGGTCGAGTGGAAAAGATTCAGATTGAGAATAGTAATATTAAAAATGTTAATTGTAGTAATGAGGGAAAAGTACATAGACTAACCAAATAAATAAATATCTATCCCTTTACGGTCGAGGCAGAAGTAGGGATTGTACATACTTCTTTTTTATACAGAGGTCTGGCTCTTAAATTCATGAATTCTCAAGGCCTATATAGCGAACGAAACACTGCCAGCAAGTCAGCATGGATTCGTTAGATGATCTTAAAATCATGTGCAGATTTGGCAGAGTGACAGAAGTCGATCATGTGTTCCAGAATAGGTATGGAGTCTTGTCTTAACCACGTTTTCACTTCACATTTAGCCTAACCATCTATCAACAGATAAATAATAAAAAGTATTGGTTTTGTAAGGAAATTTCTGTTTGATTGGTTGCAGGATTTCATTATGAGCTGACATCAGTTAGAGAAGAATTGAGAAACCAGCACTGTGGTACTGAACAGTTGTTTCGTCCCAGTTTCAGACTCTTCAAATCGCCACACTACGGATCATCATTGAACAAAGCTTGGAATGGCAGTCACCTCTCCACCTCACTCAACTTCATCGATTTTAAAAGGCCTTCATTTGCCAACAACTTCGCTACTACCAAGGGGTCCCATCGACAATTATACATCTCATCCAACAGTTAGTTGTACGACAATGCTCCACGCCAAGTAATCCACAACGGGAAACTTACGGAAGCCTTCGAAGTGAGGACGGGAGTGAGACAAGTCTGTCTACTATCGCCAATGATCTTCCTGATTGCAGTAGATTGGATAATGCGACAGATAGCGGCGGGCAATGAGGAAACACGTATGATATGGACTCACACAAAATCAACTTGGAGGATCTGGACTTCGCCAGTGATGAAATATGTCTGATTTCCCACAAACTGGAAGATATGCAAGTGAAAAGCAACAAGCTCGCAGAAGAAGCATTCAGAGAAGATAGGACTTCAAGTGAACATAGATAAAACAGAGGTGATGAAGATTCCTGGCCAACACCAACAGCCACAGTAACAACAACAACAGACAACAGTCAGCCAGCATAAATAGGAGGAACATGAAAGAAACAACGTCCTTCACCTAAGTGCCTTCCTGGGAAGCATCGTTTCAACTACAGACGGACAGAACTGACGAGGATATCAAAGCCAGAATTGGAAAAGCAAGACAAGCTTTCATTACTCTCACCATGTCTGTGTGGAGGTCAACAGCACTGCTCAGCATCAAAAATAAGATCCGGATTGTCAACTCCAATGTGAAGTCAGTGCTATTTACAATACGGATCAGAGACTTGGCCAGCGCGTCATAAGGAGCCTCTCAAACAAACTTCAGACCTTCATTAACAGCTGTCTTCGCTCAATACTCGAGATGAGATGGCCGGCCAGAAAATATCAGCAACAGGGATCTCTGGCAATGAGCGAACCAACTCAGCAGGAACCGATTGTGAAACAAATAGGCAGGAAGAAATGGAGATGGATTGGCCATACACTGAGGAAACCATTAACTGAATGACATCACTAGACAAGCCATCGCTCGTATGGAACCCGATAGAATGGGAAGAGGCGAGTGGGTCGTCAGTGCAAGGGTGACTTGGAGGAGGTCATGTGAGAGAGGAGGAGATGAAAGCATGTGGGTGACAGACCTGGAGCGGGGTGAAAAAGTTGTCAGAAAACAGAAGGCAATGGAGGTGCACAGCCGAAGCCCTATGTTCCTTTAGGAATTAAAGGATATAATAATAATAATAATAGTAATAATAATAATTCAGACTCTTCATAAGTACACACCCAAACCCACGGTTCGAGCTCAGGGCCTTCTGATTACAAGGTGAGCTAGCTCGTAGAACATTAAGCCACTAGGAGCCGGTCCAATGGCAAGTCAGCCCATAAATTCTAACTTCTGCCAGCTCATGACATAGCATGACCTCTTCGTAATGTCTTCTTCGATGAGTTACTCCCTCACCCTCAACCTGCTGTACCCTACTGGTCAAGGCTTCCCACTAGAACTAAGTGATGTCAGCTCATGATGAAATCCTCCAACAGGTTAGATGAAAAACCCCTTACGAAATGAATACTTGAAAATTAATCTGATGCTCACTGTCGACTGGCTCCATTCAGGCAGGTGGTTACCTGGGCTTCTAGTTGGAAGCCTTGACCAGCTGAATACAGTAGGTTGAAGGTGAGGCAGTAATTCATCGAAGAAGACATTGCATAGTCGCAGCACTATGTCATGAATTGGCAGAAGTTAGAGTTCATGTGCTGGCCACTATATCAGGTCCCAGTGGCTTAATGGTGGTCTATGAGCTAGCTCGCGTTGTAACCAGGAGGTCCTGGGTTTGAAGCCTCTGAGGGTGGATGCGTACTACTGAAGAGTCCCAAACTACAATGATGAAACAGCTGTCCAGTACTCTAGCTGATGTCAGCTGATCATGAAATCCTCCAAACCAACCAGTCAAATAATAAAAACTCAATTGATTAATATTTCTCATTTCACCGTTTACCTTTTTTTTCTTTTCTTTTCTTTGCAGTATTGTGGTTTTCAACAGACAGTGGAGAAATGTTTCGCTTGTGGACATATAATAGCTGAAACTGTAAGTGTTCTAACGACGAGTAATTTTTTTTCTTCTATTTTTACATTCATTCGACTGATTAAATGTATTCTCGAAAATTCTGAAATAATGAACCACTGGAACAACTTTATGGTATACTAAGTGAAACTGACTGGTGGATTGTCGAAGGAGCAGCTCTCTGGATCATTTAATATTAATAATAATAATAATAATTTGCTTTATTCCAAAACAGTACTTGTGATACAGAATGGAATTCTCAGCATTTCACTACATACAGTATTGCATCCAGTTAGTACATTATCAATAATTAAAATTCTACATGGATTAAGGAAATCTCAGTTCATTATGACAACAACTTGTTAGCATGTCGGCAAAGCCGAAATTGAACAAAGTGTTTGAAGGTGTTAGAAAAGTAGATACTACTAGCATATTTACTGGCGTAAGCGGAAGAAAGAAACAAGGCTGCACATAACGGAAAAAAGAGAGAGAGAGAAAAGGAAAAGAAAGAAAGAAAACGTTGTACCTATAGATGACATGAGTTGGAGAGACGAGATCCACTTGTTCTATCGACTATTTAATAAGTTATAGATATCATGCCTAATGCCTTCTTTATCGCACAGAACACGAGCTAAGTAGGGTATGGTTGAGTTTTTGTAGTTACTAGCGCGAGCATATAGTTTCCTATATAGGCTTCTGGTTCTGCCTGATGAGATACAAGGGGAGAGTTGTGAATGAATAGGGTGGTGTGAGTTAGATAAAGTGGATTGAACCTATTTTTCATATGAGTCCAAGTGTCTGTCGACTAGAATATTATCAAGCTGGTTAAGTGGCACCCTGTGGCTTACCCTGCTGACAACCTTTAACATCCTACGTAATAAGGTATAGTCTTTCTTCAATAGCCCAGGAAAGACTAAGGGGGAACAATAGAGAATAATAGACAGAATGCAAGAGTTAACGAATTGTGGGAGTAAGGGTTGGGTCACACCAGAATATCTTAACTTCTTGATGTAGAAGGTAAGATGGAATATTTTCTTAGAAATCATCAAGATATGGGACGACCAGGAAAGGTCGTCAGATAGAATGACGCCCAAGTATTTAATTTCCGACTTGGTTTCTATTTCAGTGCCATCTATGTTGAACACCTCGTGAGTGTTAACCACTTTGTTTAGATCAGATTTGTGCCTAAAGATGAAACTGACTGTTTGAAATTTAGAGAAATTTAAAGTAAGACCGTTTTCCTTGGATCACTGCCTGATATCTGATAAAAAGCCATTTAGTTTGGAGCGGTTACTTTGACACTTGACAGGAAAAGATACAGTCAGTTCGTCAGCATATTTGAAAAAATTAATGTCATTTGAAGATGGTAAGTCATGTAGAAAGAAAGAAAAGAGAAGTGGGGAGAGTACAGCACCTCGGAGGACACCAGCTTCAGTAAGCACAGCAGAGGAGGATTTAGCTTTATATATATATACAGTGTACTGCATTCTGTTAGAGAAGTAGAAATGCAACCGGTTAGTGACCCAGGACTTAGTTTGTTTCATAAAGAGCTTATTTAGCAAAAGACATCTAGGTACAGAGTCAAAAGCAGAAGTGAAGTCGAGAAACGTGCAGCGGAAGTATTTGACACCTTTATCTAATGATGAGACAATACTTTTGCGTAAGATGGCTGCAGCGTCTAAAGTGCTCCTACCCTGTCTACAGGCGAATTTTTTGGGGTCTTCGAAGCTTTTAAGGGAGGGTTCAAGTTTAAGAAGTACTGGTTTTTCCATAAGCTTCAGAAACACGATATAATTATGAAGATTTGTAGCTGAGATGGATGTGGTGGTTGTTTTACTTCAGTGTTGAGTAGCTATCATCATCAGTCTTCCAAGCACCATCTCGAGAGGGTGAAGTTATAGCAGCTACCCCAGTAGAACTTCCCACAGACAAATCTTGAGTAGCTAATCAGAATATATCAGGGATACAATTACCAAATTTATTAAAAATATATCTATATACCATGGTATTCCTTGATTCGTTCAAATATTTCTGATCCTGTTCTTTATTTTACGCTAAAATCATAATCCTCCCAAATGACCATTTATTCTGTCAAAATTCTTCTGAATAGGCATGTTTTAGTAACTCGAATTAATCGGTTTCATTTTTACACAATAATCAAACACATCGTCCTCCCTGATGTCGAATTTGGTTTCGCTATAACACCTGTAACTCTGATTGGTTGTCAACGGTTAAGTTGCAAGGTGGCTGCTATAGTTTGACTTCAATGTCCCCCCGCTTGTAGAGCGGGAATATTTTGGGATTCTCTACGAATGATACAAACTGTATCTCATGATAACCTTGAATGTTCGAAATAGACATCTCACACACAAACCGACATACACGCGTACACCCATTCGCTTCACTTGATAGTGTGTAGACCAGAAGACTCAACAATAAAAGAGGGCAGAATGAACACCATTTTGTGAGATAAATTGAATCAACTTTGACCAAAGTGGGCGTCCTCTTCGACTTAGCATCCACCAACAGACATGAAATGTTACAGGATTTCATCATGAGCTGACATCGGTTAGAGAACCATTGGAATGGGGGTACTAGATAGCTGTTTCGTCCCAGTTTGGGACTCTTCATCAGAACATATCCACCGGGGTTCGAACCCGGAACCTTCTGGTATACTAGCTCACGTTGTAACAGCTTTCTAGTACTCCCATTGGGCTTTCCAATGGTTATCTAACCAATGTCAGTTCATGATGAAATCCTGTGACCAGTCAATCAAATCCCTACACACCAATACCTGAACAGATATAGCATGTATTCTTTCATATCAGTATATATGGATAGCTGTATACATCGATTCGACTGGGAAAATGTAGGAATTGTACTCAGCGGAAATACTAAAGACTCTGGAGAATTCCCAAAAGTCTGGTACCCAGATCATTCTTCAGTCAACAGTGATGTTGATGTCGATAATATAACTTATCAACCAATAAATAAAAAGTTACCCGGTTGGAGAATTTTTTCATGAACACCAGAAAAGTAGGTAGAACCATAGGTGGTAGCCTTATGTTCATAACGGAACAAAGAAGGGAAAATGTGAGTATTTCGGGGAATGGTATGGGTGACGTGGAAGAAAAGCTCTGTATTTTTTATGCTGACATTTGAGAACATAGAAAAAAAGCGGGTAATTTGTTCGTTAAGAACGCAGTGTAAATGAGTAGGAGTAGGCAGTTGATTTTCTTCAGAGAAATGGGAAAAATTAAAGAAATGGGTGACAACTTGAGGGGGGGGGTGAATTGGTAAAAATGGGGAAAGTGAGTATTTTATGTTACATTTCACCCACTTTGTGACCACCTCTTATCCGATCGAAACTGCTCATTTTCCCACTCTTTCCCCAGGGTTTGCCCATTTGCATTCTCTATAATAGTAGTATACGTTGCAAAAATGTCATATGCTCGCTAGGTCAGCGCAAACACCAGTGCCAATACAAATGATTCTGTTTGGGAAACACAATCAACCGATCAATAACCAGTTACTCAATAATAAAGACCAGAAAAAGTGGAGATTTATCGGACACATACTAAGCAGATCGTTGGGTGACATCTCCAGTCAAGCCGTCTCCCAAGTTGAACCCGAGTGAAAAAGACAAGTTGGACTTTTGTTCGAGAGTGATGCGGAAGTGATGCGAGACTATCAACAATCTTGGGAGCAACTAAAAAGGACCGCATAGAATAGGACAGAGTGGAGACGTACTGCTGAAGCCCTGTTTTCCACTTGGAACCCAAGGGAACAATCATAGTAATAATTTTATCCAGTTATATAGGCGGTTAGGCTAAAAATACTTCTCTGGGATACAGAAACCTCATTTTCTGGTATTGATTGCTATCGCTTAAGCTATTTATTGAGGTAGAAGACACACTCGAGCCCTCCTGTAGGTAAATAACCAGGGAGGCAGTGGATCACTGATAAGGCAACACTAGGCAACTCTTTAGACTCATCACAGAATCGGGTGGGAGAAGGCAAATCATAAGTGAGACTATTTCTGAGAAAAATGGCTCTTTAATAAGCTCTCAGGATAGACGCCTTGAACGCTGGAAAGAACACTTTTAGGAAAAATTTAACTTGCCTACAGCCACACTGAACCTCCCCAACACCCAGCACACACCCGAATGGGATATAGACACTGGTCCGCCGTCTGTAAGTGAGGTCACAAAAGCTATCTGTAATTTGAAACGAGTCAAAGCGACAGGACCCGACGGAATTATTCCGGAGGTGTTTAAATATGGGGGTGACATACTAGTTTGTAGATTAACTAAGGTACTAGGCAACGTCTGGGAATCAGAGACGGTTCCATCAGACTGAGGTAAGTCACTTACTATACCGATATTCGAGAAGGGAAACAAGTCCTCGTGTGATAATCATAGGGGGATCAGCCTAACGAACATAGTCTCTAAAATCCTAGGCTCAGTAATCATGCACAGACTAAGCAGAACTCGGGAGGAACAAACGAGGGAAAATCAAGAAGGCTTTAGACCAGGTAGAGGGTGCATAGATCATATCTTCACTCTTCGACAGATTCTAGAACATAGACACACTTTTCGGCGTCCAACAATTGCCATATTTCTCGACTTGAAGACGGCCTTCGACTCCGTGGATCGAAAGGTACTATGGCAATGTTTGACTGTGAAGGGAGTGCCAAGAAAGTACAATGCACGAATCAAGGCACTCTTTTCAAACTCACGTAGTCGTGTAAGGGCTTGTGGGGAATTGTCATCTGAATTGATAACAGCCAGTGGTGTCCGACAGGGATGTCCACTTTCCCCATTTCTGTTTAACTTCATCATAGATATGCTGATGGAAGTATCCTTAACTGAACGTAATGACTTAGGAATCGACTTGTTACCAGGGAATAATCTTATGGACTTAGAATATGCAGATGACATAGTCCTGTTAGGGAAGGATGCTGACAAAATGCAGAGTTTTCTGAACACCTTGAGCAGCAATCTTCGTATGTTTGGCATGCGATTCGCCCCTGTAAAATGTAAGATGCTGCTACAGGACTGGACTACGTCAACTCCTCCTAGCTTAGTGATAGGAAGTGAAGTGATAGAACATGTTGACCACTTCACCTATTTGGGAAGTTGTATCAGCACCAACGGACTGATTGGCGACTAAATCTCAGCACAGATCCAAAAGGCTCGAGCTGCTGTCGATGACTTACACCATCTCTGGCGTAGGCGTGACATCCGGCTATCAACCAAGGGACGTGTGTACTGCCCATCAGTTCGCTCCGTCCTTCTCTATGGCTCTGAAACATGGCCAATACGAGTTGAAGACATGAAAAGGTTGACTGCTTTCGATCATAGATGTCTGCGATCCCTGTCTCACGTTAGGTGGTTTGACAAGGTAAGTAATGTTGACGTTAGGCGTAGAGTGTTGGGCAAACAGGGAAAATCAATCGACGAGGCTATAAAGTTACATAGACTGAGATGGCTAGGTCACGTGTCTGGGCATGCCTAACCATCGCCTCCCCCGACGGGCATTACTAGCTGATATAGGTGGTGCAGGTTGGGAAAGAGCCAGTGGTGGCCAAACAAAAACATGGCCTCATCAATCCATGAAATCCTTGACAGTTAAACTGAGTCGGTCAGGTAGGGAGATGCAGACTTCCGGGTTGGGGCCCTCGGGACTGACTCTAAGAATCAATGGCTGGAGACAATAGGTGACATGGCTCAAAATCGTTGTCAATGGCCAACGCAGATGTATTCAGTCTCTGTAATCTTTCATATTCCTTTCTACCATTACCCATTCTGTTTCACTCTTATACTTGTCAAACTCTATTAATTTTCTCCACTCATCTTCTTGTCTACCTTTGGGTGCTATTTGGAACGTGGTAACTTGAAGTGCTGCACTTCGGTGCCAAGTTCTATGTTGAATCCATCCAGACAGACAGACTGATAAGGTCTACTCCGGTTTTATTATTGAATGTCCAGTCTCTATCTACCAAGGGGGTTAAGACGTTACTATTTACGTATTTATTTGCTCCTTCTGCTCAACCATACAGGTGAATATGTTCAATAAATCTTTTATTTTGATAATATTTAATTTATCAACTATTTACTTCATCGATTTTTACTCCTGTTATTATTATTCTACAGATTCTTTTAGCCATGGGCAATACATATCATCCAGGATGTTTCCGATGTTGTATATGTACAAAGTGCTTGGATGGAATACCATTTACAGTGGACTCACGTAATTTAATCTACTGCCTACCAGATTATCATCTCGTTTATGGTCCATTGTGCGCTGTCTGTGGATTAGTGATTACGCCAGAAGAGGTAGGTAACACGTTACATTTTTATATCCTGTTGTCATGTGTTTTCCAGTGACTGACGGTAGAGTGAGTACATGGAAATACTCAAGTATTTCGGTTTGAAGGTGGAAAACTAATCGATGCATCCTTTTGTATTGCTCACGAAACTTCCGAGAGTTGATCACACTAGAAGATTTATATTTCAATAATATTTAAGACCCACTTTGATGTGGTTTAATCCACATCTCCTGATTTCCAATGGTTCTTCAACTGATATCAATTCACGAAGAGCACGTTAACCGCTTCACTTGTTTGGGAAGTACCATCAGCCAGCGCCAACGAGTTGATCTCTGACGAAATCTCAGATGAGTACGGATACAGAGGGCTAGTTTCGTATATGCCAGTTTACACCGTCTCTGGCTTAGTAGACGTGATATCCGACTGGCTATCGACCCCCAAAGGGCATGTGTACTGCTCATCAGTCCGCTCCGTCCTCCTTCATGGCTGGCTGTGAGATCTGGCCATTGAGAGTGGAAGACTTGAAAAGGTCGACTAGATGTCTTTGATCATAGGTGCCTGCATTCTATTTCCCATGTGAAGTGGTATAATAAGGTGAGCAATATTGATGTTTGGCATCGGTCGAGTTCTAGGTAAGCAGAGGAAATCAATCGACGAGGTTATGAAATTAAATCGATTGAGATGGTTAGGACATGTGTTACGTATGCCTAGTCATCGCCTGATATAGGGTCAGGCTGGAAAAGAGTTAGCGAAGGTCAAACAAAAACATGGCACCAGTCAATGAAATCTACAACAGTTAGTCTAAGCCACGTAGGAAGGTGTAGACTTCCTCACTGACTTGTTGGGGTCCTCGGGACGGTAAAACCCAGTGGTTGGAAACAACTGGTGATATGGCTCAAAATCGCTGTCAGTGGCTAATGCAGATGCATCCACTCCTTGTGACTTATAATTTTCAATGAAACTATTTTGTTCTTCGTTATTACTATTCCTTTGTCTCACACCTCTGTTTACTGTCTCTCTCTTGTGCATTTCTTCTACTTTCTTCTCTTGCTTTGTGTGCTACAACAAGGAGTGGAGTATGGCGACTTGAACTGGTGCACATCTGTGCAAAGTTCTATGTCGAAAACAGACAGACAGACATGAATAATTCCCCATCCAGGCATTAATGGAAACAACAAAATAAGTAGTTCAGCGAAGAGGCTCTTTCAGTGGATCCATTTTTTTTGGCTGTGCGACAGCATTTACACTCAACTGCACAAAAGAGAATTCTAAAGAAGTGATGAGTTGTCATAATCACAACTGTTATCAATCAAAACACATAAAGGGAACAGTATAAGGATATCGCAGTTACATAATTGGGATAAATAATTTGATGAATAAGTTGCCATCAGGATGCACATAGAAACGGAAGGAAATGTGATATTAAGTAAGAGTTCAAGGAAAATCGAAGAGTGGTACAGTGGTTAGGACTCTCGCCGACCATGCACATGGTCCGGGGTTCGAGCCCACCCCGACGCACACCTGATATCTATGGTCGGCCTGCGAAATTTGGGCTACCGATATCCACGTTGAAAATTCCACACTTGTACCAAAAATACGGTGTGGAATCAAGCTGTAATCAAAAATAAAAAATAAAATAAAAATAATGATAAATAAAAAAAAACAAAAAAACTTAAACCAAGTTGGTAGAGGAAAAAACTAAGGTTGTCTCCACGACAACAGAAGCGATTGTATACAGAGTCCCAGTAATCCCCTATGAATCGCTAAAGCTTCAGCATTGTGTGGTGAAGAAGAAAACGTGTTGCCTTCAATGGTAGGATGTTTTTCCCCGCTACAGTTCATCTTGAAGGAAAAGTTTGTTTAGATAGAATGATTAGTGTTAACAGAGAGTTCATTTAAAACAAGCAATAAAGGTTAATAAAGCAGGATGACTTAATGAATTCATCAAATTTCGGTAGAACTCGTCAGCTGAATGAATACTCTACATACACGGATATATATATATATATGCTTTTGAAATTATATTGGGAGATATAAGACTGATAAGTAAACAAACTACATTGAATTAGTCATGCAGAGAGACAGGTGCGAATGTTTCCCGGGTCATGTTCAAATAGACAAGGGGAGAGGGAGTATAAGGGTTTAAAATTAAGATAAAATGCACTACGCTTCAATTACATCACTTAGATAAACAATCAGTCAGAGAATGTAACAAAAATTGCAAACAGAGTAATATCAATAGTAATAGTTACAATAACAATAATAATAATACTGCTGAAGTGGGTTAAGATAATCCTACTGATAAAGGATAGTTTTAAATGAATCAAGAATAATAATAATAATAGGTAGAATAATAAGTAAAACGTATTACCATGGCAGATTCAGAGTGACGACCATCTCCTTTTGTACACAGAGACCTGGTTTATAAACTCAAATTGCACAAGCCTCCTCCACAATTACAAGCATCTTCTTGTTTCTTTGTCTGCTGACAATAAAAGTGAATGACTTGACAGCGTCAATATCATGTCCTTAGTCTACAAGATGTTTTCAACCATTTTGGTGAATGCTTCATCATGCGAGTAGACAATCGCCTTTCTGTACAACCTATGTATTTACTTCCACAAACACTCTCAAATCGATATACGCAGTTTGAAGTCTGTCGAGGATTGGCAACTGGTCTTTTCCAGATTGTTGAAGCACTCGCTTGGTGGTGATGTTAAGGATAACAAGTTTTGCAGCATAATAAGTTCTCTTCAATGGCTTTATCGTGTCTTCGTTTGACTACTTCTTGTACACATCATCTCCTTTGAATGGCAAACTGATATAGACAGATTTCTTCGGAACTGTTTTGATTGTTTTGCAGGCGGGGGGAGGGCTAATTTCTTTAGAGTATTTATTGATGAACTTCTCAGGATATCTCTATTCTTAGATAAAATATTCTTCATTCGTTCATCAAACTCTTGATAGAGCTACTGCTGCTGTCGCCTTTCTGTAAGCATGCAAGATAGTGTCCTTGAATCCATTCAGCTGAAGAAAATGAATTTTCTGAGAAGAGTCTCTTAGCTGAATCGCTTATTTTGATGTCAATTCGTAGTTTAACGTGAAACCAATCAAACCCCCTGAAAACTAACTCCGATTATAATTTTAATGATACCGCTTCTAATCCTGATTTTGTAGATAATTCAGAAATAAGTCTAGATGATACTGATGAAAATAATATCACAGAATCAGTTAGAAGGTCACATCTACTTGCAAGCAAACCTAGACATCATTATAAATGAGAAAAGAGACATTCGATGTTTGGCGGATGTGGTGATTGACAATTTCTATCTCTGTATTGTTTAAATACTTACTGTTGCTTGCTGATATATTTCTTATAAGAATTATTAATGATTCCGCCAAATACAAATTCCTGAATTCATCCCTCTCTGTGTTTCGAAAATTGTTATGTGGAAGTAATCTATTAGAAGTCCACGGAGTTTATCATATGACAGAGAAATTGGTTTATCTGGAAATGACATAGTTTTTACTAGACTGTACGCATCTAGACCAATAGCAGTAATAAAATAAGCTGGAATTTTGTCATCGCGAATATTCTTCAACATGCACTATGCATCGAAACATTCAAGATAATCGGTGATAACCCCACGGTGAACCATTCATAGGAAACTTTCCAAGATTATTTAGTTCCATAGAGACGCCAACGTGTTATAATTATTTGAAATAGTATTGGTTTTGTAGGGATTTGGTTTGATTGTATGGAGGATTTAATCATGAGCTGACATCAGTTAGAGAACCACTGGAAAACCTGGGAGTACTGGACAGCTGTTTCGTCCTAGTTTGGGACTCCTCAGCAGTACGCACCCACCGGGGTTCGAACCCAGGACCTTCTGGTTACAAGGCGAGCTCGTAGAGCATTGAGCCACTGGGACCCGATCCAATGGTTCTTCAATTCTAACTTCTGCCAATTCACGACATAGCGCGACCACTTCGCAATGTCTTCTTCGATGAGTTACTGCCTCATCTTCGACCTGCTACAGCAGTAGTAGTATTTGTATGATCGCAATGATCGAATTAGTGGAATTCAACTAAACACCCAAAGAGGGATGAATTCAGGAATTTGAATTTGACGGAATTATATTTCAATTTATAAACGAAATATTATGATTTTTTTTATTATTATGATTACAGCTTGATTCCACACTGCAGTTTTGGTACAAGTATGGAATTTTCAGCGTGGATATCGGTAGCCCAAATTTTGCAGGCCGACCATAGATATCAGGTGTGCGTCGGCGTGGGCTCGAACCCCGGACCATGTGCATGTTCGGCGGGAGTCCTAACCACTGTGCCACCGACGCACCAACAAACAACAGTAAGTATTTAAACAATACAGAGATAGAAATTGTCAATCCTCACACTAACACTTGAAGCCGAATGGCATAATCGGGTGAGTTATTCATTTTACAGTTCGCATTCTAAAATAGATCGAGCAGAGAAAATTATAACTGGCTTTTTTTTGTTTGTTTGTTTGTTTTAATTCACAGGGTTCAGATGAAGTTCGACGAGTTGTAGCTCTTGGTAAAGAATTTCACATTGACTGTTATCGTTGTATTGTAAGTCTGAATGATTTTCATCTATCCGATTGAAATTCGCTTTCAAATTATTATTATTGTATCCTTTAGTTCCTAGAGGAACATAGGGATTCAGCTGCGTACCTCCATTGCCTTCGGTTTTCTGACAACATTTTCACCCCGCTCCAGGTCTGCCACCCACATGCTTTCATCTCCTCCTCCCTCACATGACCTCCTCCAAGTTACCCTTGCACTGACGACCCACTCGCCTCTTCCCATTCTATCGGGTTCCACACGAGCGATGGCTTGTCTAATGATGTCATTCAATTGATGGTTTCCTCAGTGTATGACCAGCCAATCCATCTCCATTTCTTCCTTCCTATTTGTTTCACAATCGGTTCCTGCTGAGTTGGTTCGCTCATTGCCAGAGATCCCTGTTGCTGATATTTTCTGGCCGGCCATCTCATCTTGAGTAGTATTGAGCGAAGACAACTGTTGATGAAGGTCTGAAGTTTGTTTGAGAGGCTCTTTATGACGCGCTGGACAAGTCTCTGATCTGTACAGTAGCGCTGACTTCACATTGGAGTTGACAATCCGGATCTTATTTTCGATGCTGAGCAGTGCTGTTGGCCTCCACACAGACATGGTGAGAGTAATGAAAGCTTGTCTTGCTTTTCCAATTCTGGCTTTGATATCCTCGTCAGTTCTGTCCGCCTGTAGTTGAAACGATGCTTCCCAGGAAGGCACTTAGGTGAAGGACGTTGTTTCTTTCATGTTCCTCCTATTTATGCTGACTGATTATCGTCTGTTGTTATTGCTGTTGGTGTTGGCCAGGAATCTTCATCACCTCTGTTTTCTCTATGTTCACTTGAAGTCCTATCTTCTCTGAATGCTACTTCTGCGAGCTTGTTGCTTTTCACTTGCATATCTTCCAGTTTGTGGGAAATCAGATACATATATCATCGGCGAAGTCCAGATTCTCCAAGTCTTTTGTGTGAGTCCATTTTATGCCTGTTCCCTCGTTGTTTGCCGTTGTCTGTCGCACTATCCAATCAATTGCAATCAGGAAGATCATTGGCGATAGTAGACAGCCTTGTCTCACTCCCGTCCTCACTTCGAAGGTTTCCGTAAATTTCCCGTTGTGGATTACTTGGCATGCAGCATTGTCGTACAACTAACTGTTGGATGAGATGTATAATTGTCGATGGGACCCCGTAGTAGCGAAGTTGTTGGCAAATGACCTTTCGATCTACGCTTAGCTATCGAAGGCCTTTTCAAAGTTGATGAATTTGAGTGAGGTGGAGAGGTGACTGCCATTCCAAGCTTTGTTCAATGATGATCCGTAGAGTGGCTATTTGATCAATACATGACTTGTTTCTCCTGAATCCGGCCTGTTCCGGACGAAGTTTTTCATCTAGGGCTTGTTTGATTATTATGCTAAAAGATAATATAATTATTACGAGTAGAATATAAGGCATCGATAGGCATATCTCCATTTGATTCAGTTATCTGCAGTCCATTTTATTTTCCTCTATCTTTTACTCATGGGCTTTGAATTCCATCTCACACGATCTGCTTCACACACACACACACCCTTGGACGCCTAATTCCTTGTTTCCTATTCAGGTTGCCCTTGAGGAACTACCTAGAGTGTGTGATGTCACTCATGTGTGCCCAACCTGTCTCTATGTCTTTCGCCATGTGTGTTGAGTAACACATTCTTGGTTGGCCCCTTTCCACAGTTTTCTTGTTACTTAAAAAGTACCCATCTAGACATCTAAGTAAGAACATACTGTTCAGTGAAGAGTCTCTTTTCGGGGAACTCATTCAATTAGTCGTACAGCGGTGATTATATATGATCATTACTATGTGTGTACATATTAGGTTTGTTAAACAAGAGTAAACATTAGCTTGGGGGTATTGTTTAAGTCATTCAAATATTTTTAACATGGTGGTTAATAATCAAATTGTAACTAGGGTGGGGTGAAGATTATTAATTTTCTTTTCGACGAAATCATCAACTAGGTAGAGCTGTACATTCGTGTATTTATAATAAATGGGTGGATGAGAAAGTTCCAGAATAATTTCTGGTCAAGGGTCAGATCAATAATAGAATTACAATTAGAAATTAAAATGCCATAATAATAAACAGACGGGGGACGGATAAAACTCAAACAAAGTAGCATCATAATTACTGAGAAGATTGACATTGAATGTGTAATTAGGGGGGGGGGGGGGTTAGAAATGTAGAAATAACAACAATAGATAGACAGGATGTTTGGATAAGAAAAAATTTAGTGGGATCATAACTAATGTGACGAATAATTGTGTTTATGCTGTTAGGGATTAAATATATAGAAATAATAAAATAACAAAATAGACAGGAAGTTTGGATATGAAAATATGGTAGTGTGAATAGGGGAGAGATTATGAAAAACTTAAAAAAAATAACATGAATAAACAGGAAGTTTGGATAAGAAAGTCAACGGGATAGTCACTATTATAAGAATTACCTGTTTATGATGGTCATGGCAGGGACAAGGGTTGAACGTGTTTCTTTTGGATACATAGCATGGGTTTGAGCTTTTGAATGGCTAGTGCCTCGGCTACAGGCAAAGTTGAACAATAGCGTCCCAGGAGTGTGAACGCCCCAATGACCTTGAACGCATGCTAATCGTTGGCTAACGGCATCTATCACTATCACAACTGAAATATCAACGCAAATATCACCCAGATCACGTTTTTAAGCACTGTTTGAACAATGTATTAATAGCTCGTTAGGGTCAGGATTAGGGTTAAGGTAAGTATTGGGGTTACCGTTAGGGTTAGGGTTATAATTAGCACTAGGGTTAAAATAACGGTTTGACTAAGGGTTATGATTAGGGTGAGGATTAAGGTTAGTGTTAGGGTCAGGATTAAGCTTATGGTTACGATTAGGGATAGATTTATAGTTGATGTCATTTATTGTAATTTGTTTTATTATCCACGTCTTCCTGGTAAGTAGTCATTTATCCTCTTGCTGCAAAACCATAACAATTCAACCGAGGGCTTTTTTGGAAGACTGCAAGCAGGGTGAGAGAGATAAGCGATTCACAAGCGCAGTTTATCTGTAGTCATCTCGGTGAATACATGTGCAGAAATTAGTCTAACTTAGCAACTGATACTCCTCGTTACAACTAGGACGTAGTTTTAAGCCATGTCAGAGAAAGACAACCTATTTTAACGTGTTTTCGAGCATTTTCTAGTAAATATACATCATTTTTTGAGCCAACATTCCTCATTTTTATGATTGGTCAGCTGAAGGTCATTGGAGCGTTCGCATCCCTGGAACGCTATTGTTGAACTTAGCCCGGCTATACCTAGATGTCTTAATTTTACTCCCTTTGATGGGTTTGATCTACTTTCTTTTATATTTTGTTTTGGGGGATTTTTCGAAATTATTCTGGAACCTTCCCCACCCTCACCCATTTATTATAAATACACGCATGTACAGCTCTACCTAGTTGATGATTTTGTCGGAAAGCAAAATTTTCCTCGCTGCAACTGTCTCTTTATTCCCTATGATCAAATGTGATTAGTAATTTAAGATTGAGGTTGAGTAATGTGAAAAACATTCAGAAAAACTGAACTGTGCGTCTGTGGCACAGCGGTTAGGACTCTCGTCGACCATACACATCGTTCGGGGTTTAACCCCCCGCCGACGCACACCTGATATTTATGGTCGGCCTGCAAAATTTGGGCTACCGATGTCACATTCTGAAAATTCCACACTTGTACCAAAATACGGTGTGGAATCAAGCTGTAATAAAAAAAATTAATGAAAGAGCATGGAGACAAGTGTCCAAAATAAATCATGTGGTGCGGAATGAGACTGAACAAAAGGTTGGTTAAAATGATATCAAAAAAATGTCACATGAAAACAGACAACAAGAAATATTAATGACAAAGTATTCGTAAAAGAAGTCGAGCCTGGAGTTAAACCCCAAGGTAAAAAGAAAGGATGGAGAAGTCTCTCCTGTGTATATAAATCATAGTTTACCGCCCAAATTGTTAAGGTCCCGACAATGCAAAGTACACCGAAGCGTACCGCTTTCAGGAGGCTTCTTTTGACTTTGTAGACAACTTTGAATGTCTCTTCGTTACATATTGAGTGGCCACTGTTGAATATATGCTCAACTATAACGCTTTTGGAGGCTGATGGTATTGACGTTCGCGGACTGTACGGAGTATACGCAAGTAAACACAAGATCTAATACCAATAACTTCTATAGCACTCGTTCCTCATGGACTAAAGGCAAAGCAAAAGAACAGAATTGATCAACCAAACTATGAGATATACTTCGGGACCAAATTGTAGAGCGAGACAGATGCCTAGCTGGCTAGTGATCAAGCACGGGCAAAGTTCTACAATAGCGTTCCAAAGGATGCGAACGCACGAGTGACCTACAGCCAGCCAGCCAATCATATAAATGAGGAATTTTTGCACACAAAATGACGTATATTCACAAGAAAATGCATGAAAACACATTAAACAGGGTGTCTTCCTCTGACATGATTTGAAAATACGTCCCAGTTATAGTGAGGAGTATCAGCTGCTAAGTTAGACTAGTTTCTGTAGATGTATTCACCGAGGTGACTGATGATGTGCTGTTTTGTGAATCGTTCATTTCCCTTCTCTTGCTGTGCAGTTGTCTCCAAAGCCCTCGGTTAAATTACAATGGTTTCAGTAAGAGGATCGACGACTACATACAAGGGGAATGATTATTATCATTATTTATTATTGCTCCCTTGGGTTCCTAGTGGAACATAGGGCTTCAACTGCACGTCTCCATTTGCTTCTGTCTTCTGCTACACTTTTCGCCTGCATCCATGTTAATCCATATTCTTTCAACTCCTCTTCACACGATCTCCTCCATGTCACCCTTGGACGTCCCACATGCCGCTTCCCTTTCGGGTTCCACTCGAGGGCTTGACGCCCGATGTCACCCAGCGGTCTCCTCAGCGAGTGTCCGATCTATCTCCACTTTCTCCTGCATATTTGTTGGGCGATTGGTTCTTGCTTTGTTTGTTCCCATAATTCCTTGTTGGTGATTCTTTCCAGCCATCTGATCTTCAGTATAGAGCGAAGACAGTTGTTAATAAAGGTCTGCAACCTGTTGGAAATATTCTTTGTGACCCGCCAAGTTTCTGATCCGTATAGAAGAACTGACGACTTTACGTTTGTATTGAAAATCCGAATTTTGTTGGTGATGCTGAGTGAAGAAGATTTCCAGATTGATTTCAGGCTGATGAATGTGTTTCTCGCCTTCCCGATTCTCTCGATTTGACATCCTCGTCCGCTCCTCCTGTAGTTGAGACAATGCTCCCTAGATAAGTGAATGAAGTAACCTCTTTCAAATCCCTCCCGTTGATGGTGATTGACGTTGGATGTTGTTGCTGTTGTTGGTTGGTTATTTTCATAACCTCCGTCTTGTCTATGTTCACCTGGAGTCCTGTCTTAGCCGGCTGCTTCTTCGACCAGTTTGTCGGTTTTCGCTTGTAAGTCTTCGATTGTGTGTGACATCAAACATAAGTCATCCACGCGCGAAATCCAGGTCTTCTAGGTTCTTCACGTCGGTCCAGGATATTCCTGTCTTCTCGTTTCCCACAGTCTGACGCATAATCCAGTCATCCACCACAATTAGGAATATCATTGGTGATAGTAAGCACCCTTGTCTGACTCCTGTGTTTACTCCAAACGCCTCGCTGAGTTTTCCGTTGTGGATCACTTGGCAGGTGCCGTTGTCGTACAGCTGTTGAATAAGGTTGATGAATATTTGGAGTACGCCATAGTACTCGAGTAATTTCCAAATTACTTCACGATCAACGCTGTCGAAGGCCTTCTCAAAGTCTATAAAGTTGAGGTAGAGGTTTGATTGCCATTCCATGCTTTGTTTGATGATGATGCGTAGAGTTGCAATTTGGTCAGTACATGATTTGCCTTTCCTGAATCCAGCTTGTTCTGGTCGGAGTTCTGTATCCAGTGCGTCCTTTAATCTCTCCAGGATGATGCGACTCAGGATTTTACTTGGCGTCGATAGGAGCATGATTCCTCGCCAGTTCTTGCAGAGTGAGGCCCTAGTCGCCCTTCTTTGGTAGTTTCACGAGGTAACCTTTCCTCCAGTCAGTAGGCACCTTTCCCTCCTTCCAGACCTTTTGCAATAATGGAGTCAGCATGTCTGCTGTAGTTTCTGGGTCTGCTTTCAGTGCTTCAGGGGGTATTCCATCTGGTCCGGCTGTTTTTCCAGCTTTCAGAAGTTTGATTGCGTTCAAGACTTCAGCTCTCGTTGGAGGATTGGTGTCAACTTGCAGTTGTGTGCGCGCTGTTGTTGGTATTTCTGGACGGGTTGCAGGTGATGGTCGGTTCAAGAGTCTTTTGAAGTGATCCGCCCATTGTTTAATCTGTTTTTCTTCCTTGGTAATGGGCTTCCCTTGGCTGTCTTTTATAGGTTTCGCTTGTGTTGGTCTCTTCCCGGATAGAGATTTGGTTATCTGATATAGTATCCTCAGGTCCCTTTTGCCTGCTGCCTTTTCAGCTTCTGTAGCTAGATTGTCGTAGAATCGTCTTTTGTCTTTCCTAGCACTTTTCTTCACTTCTTTGTCCAATGCTTTGTAAGTTGAGCTCATCGTCTCCTTCTCCTGTCCGTCCTTGCATTGAATCATTTTCTCTTTCACCATTCTCCTCTCTTCTATTAATTTCCAAGTGTCCATTGAGAGCCATTCCTTGTCTTGTCTCTTCTTTCTTCCTAGAACCGTTAAACTCGTTTCGTTGAGAATCGCCTTCAGAGACTTCCAATGAGGATAAAACAAATTAAAATAAATGACATTAACTATAAATCCATCCCTAATCGCAACCCCAACCTTAATCCTGACCCTAACCATAAACTTAACACTAACCCTGACCTTAATCCTAACCCTAATGACAATCCTTATCCTGCCGTAAACCCAACCCTAATCCCAATACTTAACTTAACCCTAATCCTAACCCTAACGAGCTATTAAAACATTGTCCAAACAGCAATTAAAAGCGTTATCTGGGTGAAACTTGATCCTTATTTGATGAATAGCGTTGATATTTCAGTTATGATAACGAAAGTTGACGTTAGCCAACGACTAGCATGCGTTCAAGATCACTGAAGCGTTCACACTCTTGGGACGCTATTCTTGAACTTCGCCCGTTCACGAACGTGACACGATGGAGTACCAAATGGCAAGGATGCTTGACCAGAAGCCTTCAGCTAAAAAAGTCGACTTAAACACTAAGGGGCAACATCCAATGTTCACTGATGATTCTTACGGTCAATAATTTTGGGGAATTATTTACCGCTACAATGTGTTCAAGTATAACACTCCCTATTGATCCATAATAACCCATCTGTAACCAAGGGAGATGGTGGTCCTTGACCTTTATAAGTGAAACACACATCTAACGACCTATATATCTCCCTCTAAAGGTGCAACTGAATCCTTTCTGGCAGTCTGATCTTCAGTATGGAGTTAGGAGAGCTGTTTCAAAAGCTTTTGGTAGAGTGACAAGACTCCGAACCACACAAAAGCACTAAATAACTAAAAATCCCAATGTAATAATAGTAATAATTAAGCTTCAATTTCTGTTTTTATTGAATCACATTTTAGGATTGTAAACGATGCTTAAGTGATGAACCAGAGAAACGTTGTTATCCATTCAATGAACCAGATCCTGGAGCACCCGGCCGAAGTGTACAACGTATGCTATGCTTAAATTGTCATTTACAACGAATTGGTGCTATTCCAGCAACATCAGCTGGTGGAATTGTAAATAGTAATAATAACAGCAGCAGTAGTAATACTACTAATAATGCTATCAGTAGTATTAGTAGTGGTCATACAAAATCAACAAGTGGAATTCTAAATTATTCTGCTTCTAATAACCACCATATGAACAATTCAGGCGGTCGTTATTCGACTATGCCAAATCGTGTTCAAGGTTCAAAATTGAACACATTGAACACGAGTACAGTCAGCCCGCCTAGTTCAACTCCGTCTTCTTCCCATCATCATCATCACCACTATCCACATCATCAACAACCTTATCAGTTGAATACATCTTTGACAACATCGACTTATCAAACAACACCGCATATTCATAGTGCACACAGTACATCAAATTCACTTGGAGTCAAGCCTCGAAGTACTAATGGTAATAATATTACTAATAATACGAATAATTATGCAATTAATTGGGAAAGAGCAAGAATGAATGGTGCAAATAATGCTGCGAATCATCTGCATCACGGGGAAAGTAGTAGAAGTTATCATAATTCCTTCGAGACTAAAAGTTAACCAGTACAAGTCTGTTTTATTTCATCATTATTACCAATGTATACATTCATTGTTTCACGCCGTCGAACCTTTAACCCTACTACTCTTCCCTACCCACCATCTTCATTTCGTGGAAATACCGGCCCATTGCTATATATATATATATAAACAATCAACTTCCAGCCAGTGAATGAGTGAGCGAGTGAGCTCTGGGCGTGGAAACTCGCTTCGCTTAACTCTGTGTGTGTGTATGTGTGTGACGAACAACCCAATACTGGAGTAACTCAAATGAGTTCTAACCCTAATCTTGTTTTGTTTTTTGTATTCAGCTATAAAGTTTGTTCTAGTCGAATGTCCTTTCACTATTATATGTATGATGAAATCAAATCAAATCACATCGAATATATATATAAACGCCAAAATATGCATTTCAGACTAGCTATATTCAGAAAAAAACAGGCTATTGAAAATTGTTATTATTATTATTATTATTGTTATTATTACGCGTAATTATATAATAACTTCTAATTGAAGAACAATAAAGACAGACTGAACAATTTCTTTTATGCCTTATTCTTCTCCTTCAACTTTTACACTGTCTATATCTGTTTGTCCCTGTCGCTGACTTTTCAATCTACTTCTAAGAGGATGATGAAGAGTATACATTTTGGCGTCTTGTCTTCTCCCCTCCCCTCCCCCCGCCAAACTTGTTTTATGTTGCTCTACACTTTTTTTACAAATATATTATTATTTTATCCTTTAATTCCTAGAAGAACATAGGGCTTCAGCTGCGCGTCTCCATTGCCTTCGGTTTTCTGACAACTTTTTCACCCCGCTCCAAGTCTCATGACCTCCTCCAAGTCACCCTTGCACTGACGACCCACTCGCCTCTTCCCATTCTATCGGGTTCCATACGAGCGATAGCTTGTCTAGTCATGTCATTCAATTGATGGTTTTTTCAGTGTATGGCCAATCCATCTCCATTTCTTCCTGCCTATTTGTTTCACAATTGGTTCCTCCTGCTTTGGTTCGCTCATTGCCAGAGATCCCTGTTGCTGATATTTTCTGGCCGGCCATCTCATCTTGAGTATTGAGTGAAGACAGCTGTTAATGAAAGTCTGAAGTCTGTTTGACGCGCCAAGTCTCTGATCTGTACAGTAGCGCTGACTTCACATTGGAGTTGACAATCCGGATCCTATTTTTGATGCTGAGCAGTGCTGTTGACCTCCACACAGACATGGTGAGAGTAATGAAAGCTTGTCTTGCTTTTCCAATTCCGGATTTGATATCCTCGTCAGTTCTGTCCGCCTGTAGTTGAAACGATGCTTCCCGGGAAGGCACTTAGGTGAAGGACGTTGTTTCTTTCATGTTCATCCTATTTATGCTGGCTGACTGTTGTCTGTTGTTGTTGTTGTTGTTACTGTGGCTGTTGGTGTTGGCCAGGAATCTTCATCACCTCTGTTTTATCTATGTTCACTTGAAGTCCTATCTTCTCTGAATGCTTCTTCTTCTGCCAGCTTGTTGCTTTTCACTTGCATATCTTCCAGTTTGTGGGAAATCAGACATATTTCATCGCTGGCGAAGTCCAGATCCTCCAAGTTGATTTTGTGTGAGTCCATATCATACGTGTTTCCCCATTGCCCGCCGCTATCTGTCGCATTATCCAATCTACTGCAATCAGGAAGATCACTGGTGATAGTAGACAGACTTGTCTCACTCCCGTCCTCACTTCGAAGGCTTCCGTAAGTTTCCCGTTGTGGATTACTTGGCGTGGAGCATTGTCGTACAACTAACTGTTGGATGAGATGTATAATTGTCGATGGGACCCCTTGGTAGTAGCGAAGTTGTTGGCAAATGACCTTTCGATCTACGCTTAGCTATCGAAGGCCTTTTCAAAGTCGATGAAGTTGAGTGAGGTGGAGAGGTGACTGCCATTCCAAGCTTTGTTCAATGATGATCCTTAGAGTGGCGATTTGATCAATACAAGACTTGTTTCTCCTGAATCCGGCCTGTTCCGGACGAAGTTTTTCATCTATGGCTTGTTTGATATATATATATATATATATATATATATATATATATATTGATAATCATTTTAAATACTTTAGAGAATCATTGAAGACAATGGATCAACAGTGTGCACCCACCATCCTACCAGAGATTGAACTCAAAGTATACACCTTACAAAGCAAAGTTCCTTGAACATTCAGCCGATTGAACCGGAATTCTTTGAACCCGAATGCTAAATCTACTACTTCATAATAGCATCGTTTAAATTTGCTCCTACAACCTTGATAGAATAAAGTAGTGAATTCGTAATATATGTAGGGGACTAATAGGAGAGCTCATTAACATTACAAATAAAAATCCAAGTGAATAAGATGATAGGGTAAATATATATTATCAAAAAATGCATTAATGCGTTATATTAATGAAAAGGTTACTTGGTTATAACGTTAAATAAAGTCCGTGGCTACAAATTATCAATATAATCCAAGGAAGCGTTCACTGTTCGAATTCATCTGCTGGTAGATGCTGTGGACCGGTTGTAGAGTTGTCTTCGGATAAGGATAATAGACTCCTACAATAAATCCAAAGTATACCACACGGTATGAGTGGAGCAAGTAAGCAGAAATGGCCAGAGAGAAGGCGAAGCTTCCAACAGTATAGTGTATTTCGTATATAGTACACGGAAGTTATATGTATTTTAACAAGAATCGTTTTAAACAAAAATCATGTACAATGTCTCCAATTTCTACAACTAACAAAAAGTGTACAATCATATTTTTACGCACTCCACATATAACAACACGATCATGTTAAGGCATAGGCATTCATAGATGGCAGAAGTGCATCATGAATTCATGAGTCACTAGACTCCAGTCTCTTTGGTTGGATGGTCAGCAAGGTGGCTTTAAGAACTGAAGGTATTGGGTTCGGTTTCTGTTAAGGTTTTAGGTGTAAACCGATGATAAGTCTCAAGCTGGAAGGAAACAGACATCTAGTGGTCTCTAGCATTTAGTGGTCCTCTCTATCTCGTGGGGACTGGGTTTGGTGACCACTTTATCCCCAATTATAAGTAGCTATCATTGGTTACAAAGTAGCCAAACTATTCCAGTAGGTCTACGTCTTGACCATACAAATGACTAAATTCTTAGTGCAGTCCCGACTGCACTCAATGCAACCTAAGCAATAAGGAGAGAATTCCAAACGGTGAAGACAAACTATAACAGCCATCAAACAGGTCTGAGTAAATGGTCATGTCGCTGGTCAGGAATGAAGCATATGCGACGCTTAAAACAGTTTAATTATTTATTGTGACGATTCACAGTCAGCCCTGGCTACTGGTTCTAGCCGAAGATCCTAATGCAATCTTTAGTCATAACCACAATATAACCCTCCTCTGCCTTATATCTCATCTCATCCCTGACTCTTAATCCTAATTTAACCACTAACCTTAATTCTAGAGGTTAAAAGCAGAAAGATCAGATTGTGAGAAAGCTCTTGAAGCGAAACCTTTCCTGCATTCATCTCTAACGATGTGATTCTCTTGGTGACTGTCACAGTTTATATTCACCATTTAAACCTGTTACTTAAAAATCGACTGAGGCTATTGAAAATTGTTATTATTATTATTACGCGTAATTATATAATAACTTCTAATTGAAGAACAATAAAGACAGACTGAACAATTCCTTTTATGCCTTATTCTTCTTCAAATTTTACACTGTCTATTTCTCTCTATCCCTGCCTCTGACCCGACCGAAAGCTGCTACCTTGACGTGGTGGTCGGGCTTGAACACCGCAATGATCTATTCAAGCTATACTGGCTGAGACTTATGTCTCTTGAGGTCTACCATGCCAGGCAGGTTGTTTGGATAGCGGTTAAACAAAAAGCAGCTACCCAATCCAACATCATGATTCAAACAAATTCACAAAATTTCATGCCGGATCGGCCGTGGCCCGGATTAACAACGACCGCGCTTCCTGCTGCCGTGTCACAGGGCAGGAGTGATAAATATGCTACTGAGGCACACAAAACAAAAAGAACAAACAAAAACAGGCCGCGTGTGACCGGCCTCAAGCAGTTGTCCCCTGGGCTCTGCGGTCACGCAACCAACTTCCACGGTGTGGGCAGCCGGGAAGTAACAATCGCCCTCACAATCCGAAATGCACGCGAAACCTCTCTATTACTCACTCATCTTTGTCTTCATCTTCATCTCTATCATCTTGCCTTCCTTCCACTGATGCAACTCCTCGACTTGATAGCTCTCCACTTCCTCTCCACTCTGCGTCCACTAAAAACGATGGAAGCCAAAAAACCACCACCGACAGCCTCTTAAAGCCGCGCCACCAATTTCATATAGGAGCTCTTAATGTTAGGACACTTTGCCAAATAGGACAACAAGCATCACTAGCCAAGACCCTGGCATCACGAGCCATTGATGTATGCTGTGTTTCAGAAACACGCATACAAGACCCAAGTGTGGTTATTCACCTAACCCCACCTGGCCAACAGGTTGAATCTGCAAAATTCACCTTGAGGGTGTCAGGAGATGCCACAGCTAGTTCACGAGGATTAGCTGGCGTAGGGATAGCTTTGAGTACTAGGGCAGAAAAGACATTGCTTGACTGGATCCCGGTAGATAGCCGAATGTGTGCTGTCCGCCTGAACGGATCAGTAAGAAGGAGGAAGGACTGCACTACTCGCCGATGCCTTTTCGTAATCTCCGCCTACGCCCCCACTGACTGCAGTTCAGATGAAACGAAGGATGAGTTCTACCAAAAGCTGTCTAGTTTGGTGCGAAAGGCTAAACGCTCAGACATAGTCGTTCTAGCTGGTGACTTTAACGCTCAAGTAGGGAAATTGTGTCAATCTGAGAAGGATGTCGGTGGCACCTATGGAGTTCCGTGCCAGCGAACCGACAACGGTGACCGTCTCCTACAGTTCTGTTCTGATAATCATTTGTTTCTTGTAAGCACTAACTTCAAACACAAGGAGAGACACTGTTTGACTTGGAGACCCCCTTCATCAAACCAACGCTGGACACAAATAGACCACATAGCAATAAGCTATCGTTGGCGTGGGTCGGTAGGAGATTGTCGCTCCTTCTGGAACACGTGCGTAGATACCGACCATGCACTGGTCCGCGCTCGGGTGTGCTTACGACTGAACGGACGTAGGAAACAGCTGGCGGTAAAACCATCACGTCCCCAGCTCGATCAGGAAACTAAATCCGTATTTGAGGAAGAACTAGCTAAACACATATCTGTGTTCGACAGCTGTGCTCACCCTGAAGAAGCTTGGAAAAATATCCAGGCAGCCATAGATACAGCTGTAAAAGCTGTGAATAAGGTAAACCCAAAGGTGAGTAAAAACCACTGGATCTCCACCGCCTCATCCGAACTGATAGATGCTAGAAGACTTATTCCGGCGAGCTCCGAATTCAATGAGGAGCGAAAGCTGCACAAGAGGAAACTTACGAAAAGTCTCCGCAAGGACCGTGAACAGTGGTGGGCGACAAAAGCCAAAGAGATGGAGAAAGCTTCGAGGATAGGCAACACCAGGCAACTCTTTAGACTCATCAGGGAAACGGGTGGGAGAAGACAAATCATCAGTGAGACAATCTCGGAAAAAAATGGCACTATAATTAGCTCCCAGGATAGACGACTGGATCGTTGGAAAGAGCATTATGAGGAGCAGTTTAATTTGCCCACAGCCACGCTCAACCTTCCGAGCATCCAACACCTCCCTGAATGGGATATAGACACAGGTCCTCCGTCACTAACTGAGGTTACTAAAGCTGTC